AAGTCACAGGAAGGTGGTGAAGTTAGAGGGCATCAGTGATGCCAAACTGGTATTCATGTTCATGTTAATGAAGTTAATGTAACGTGCTTACTTTATTTAACCAATACCACCACCATTAAGTGTTATGAGTGCAAAAATATAACCATTCAAAAGTTGCATCAGGCTTTGATCGCTATTGTAGGAACACAATTTAAAAATGTTATCAGTGAACATTTTGCAGATACGTTCAGCATTAACATTTTCTAATATATATTTTGATTTTAACTCAAAGTCAATTTTTTTGTTTTTGTTTTGTTCAATGCAAAAACGATTACTTATTTCAGAGGATTTGTCCTAGGATACCGATTGAGTGAGTATGCCATTTTTTAAATGTGTAATTTTGTGTTTGGAAGTTTTCCACCATCTACATTGATTGCTCAGTGTGTGTGTGTGTGTGTGTGTGTGGTGCTTTAGGTTGATTATTTTCTATCCCACTAGATTGGAAAAAAACATTTCTCCGAGCAATCCCTGTAAAATGTAAATATATTAGTAAATGCTGTGGCTTGAGGCAAAATGCTGCTTCAAGGCCCTGCAAATCTAAAGGTTTAATGTTACCAAACTTAGTTCACCCCATATAAGCAGCAATAATACTAAAGAACAGGACAAAATCAGTCAGGTCCTTTAAGCATAAAAATGTATTCCATTAAGTGTAGTTTGCGTTAACTCTATCTCTGTGATGATTAATAAAGAGGTCATCACCCGATTTGAATTTGAATTTTGTGATTTTCCCAATCAGAAAATGCATACATTTGTTTTCATAACCTAATCACAGCTCAAGTATGTGTCTACCACACTGCAACAGTTATTAAAGTAATTAATCACATGCAAACCTGTCGAATATGATTCTGCACCCGCTTTGTCACTTTGATTAAAATTCAAATAAGTGTGTGTATGTGTGTGTGTTAAACAGAGAGAGAGAGAGAGAAAGAGAGAGAGAGAGAGGCTGAGACTGATAGGGAGGCAGATAGGAATCAAGCAACGACGGTGCGCTTGAACATACTGGTGGCAGGCCTTTATATTTGCTGTTTAAAATGCACTTTGTGAGCCAAAAGTACAGTCTAAGTGCTGAGGAAGTGCTGAGAGCCTATGTTGATGAGACGCATTACGGTCCCCAAGTACAAATGATTCATGAAAAAAAGGGGAACACGTGCATGTCATTTGAGGAGTAAAAAACAGTATTTCTCACCGAATTATGTCCATTGAGAGGGGGGAAATTGTATCCTGTGTGCTGTAAAATAACACTGACGCACAAAGAAACATGGAACATTTTGTATATCTTTTAGCCATTTTTATTTAATTTATCTCCCAGGCTCATGAGAAATTGTTTTAGCTGTTGTAATCAGCGGTCTATCTTTTACATAGCACGTAGGATTGCTGCCGTTTCTATCAGTATCTTACAATCACATCAGTGGAGAGTGCACCCCTAAAGGCTTGAGACGGGCTGGATTAATGAACAGACTTATGGTGCTGACACCCCAAGGGGGACAAGCAGGTGGAGGATGAAAATGGCTAGTCGAAAAGAAATTTCCCATCGTTTTGTTTTTTTCCCATTGGCTACCACTTTAAAATTCATATCTAGTACACTTGACTGACCATCAGTTGAATCAGATGCTGTATTAAAAATACTATAAAAAGCAAGCTTATCTGAAATTTAAAAATGTCTAAATGCTGAGGTGCTGCACAATGAAAACGATTTGCAATGACATCTCAAAATGTCCTCAAACGTAGTATGGATAATATCCCCTAAGCTAGCAACCAGCGGGCCAGAGGAAGATGAAAAGTGCATGGATAAAGTTTTACAAGGTCACATATCAGCCCCCTTTGACGGAACATCATGTGTCTTTTTATTTATTAAAAGGGGATTTTACTCCAAACTCCAACTGCAAAACCAAGAAAATGTGGTTGTGTGTGTAGAATATGAAAGCGAAACATGGAAAATTATCAGAAAAACAAAACCACATTGGAATGTTTCCCTTTGTTGTATCTGAAGACATCAGAGTCAGCTTTTTAATGCACTTTTCATCATCCTGTAAGACCCACAAACTGGTCAAATACCTTTGTGAATTGAGAACCCATTCCATTTGATTTTATGGATCAAGGAGTTTCTATGCAACCAGCTCTGGCATGTTAAATGGAATGGCTGTCTATCTAATGAACCGGTTTTAAACACAAGTGTCCCCCAGCGCCGTGCCATTTCCTTTTTTTTTTTATATTGTCTATTTATACCGTTGAGATTATGTGCAACAATAACCGCTTCGTTCTGATTAAGCATGCGGACAACGCGGCCCAGGAGACCTGTCTGATTCCCATTCAGTCGCATCAGAAAAAGACGAAAAGATTTTACAGAGCTGATGGACTGTTTGGCCCTCGCCACCTCAGACAAAACATTACAAATAAACAACAAGATTGAACCCTAAGCCAAGAAGAACAGCTGGCATCATCAATATACAGCTCCTTCCAGAACAAGTTTCTCATAACAGACCACTGAAGATGATCAGACCCATATTCTCATTAGAGGTGGACCTTATTTACACCAACGTTCAGTATCATTTCAGCAGCAGAAGCTCAAGGGACGTGATGTCAATAAAGACGCTCAATAGCTGCCTTCAACTTCAACACAGTGTCCTAGTTTGGTCAGCTGGCTGTGAGGAGCTTGCAAAAATTGTCAATCAGGAACCTAAAATCATTTGACTGTCAATAACTCACTGATCACCAGCTGGCTTGCCCACTAAGACTTTTGCCTTCAGGGGGGTAGCAGGGGCGACTTTGCATCCCTTGAGTAGGATGTGCTGCAAAGGCTGCTTAGAAAGATAACCAAGATCGTATCACAGCTTGAACACTCATGTGAGGCAAAAAGACTGAAATATTGATTAACCAAATAGTGCATCCCAAGCCAAGTGTATTTATCCGTATTTTTTAATTGGTTTCATTTCCACTTTTGCTCGTATTTATGGCACACATCATTACAAATCATATCACATTCAAGGCAGATTTTAAAAGTGAGAAACATGCAGTCAATCAATACTACATGTAGCATTCATTTAAAAGGGAATTTGTTCAGTATATGTTTTATCCCCATGGTCGAGTCCAATCAATGTTATGTCTCTTAAAGTCAGAGACCGTAGAGCTATGACTCCAGGCTTTGATGTCTCAGACAATCGCAGAAATCAAATAACAGTTGGTAGGGCTGATTCATGGACAGATTTCAGGTTTTATACGATGAAATTCTTTAACAAATCTGAACTGTAAAGATCCGTACCCCCCCCCCCCTCGGCACATTCACCATCACCTTCTACATCTTTCTCATTTCACTCCCTGTGGGATTTTACATCTTGGCCAGATCACAGGCAAAGTCTTGAATTTAATATTTGATAGAGCTACCCTAGACCACAGGAATGAAGTAATTTTCCTTCAAATGTCCTTTTTAGATTGGATTTATTATCAGTCATTTACATCTATTATAGTCTGAGCTCTAACACTCAGTCATAAAATGCCATCAATTTAAACTCTGCAGTTCCACTCCTACTTTTTGAACCCGACAGGGGTTCAGACTGTATAAATCTCAAATGTTGACTGGCTGCAGTGACAAGCCCATCAGTGATGATCCAGTGAACAGTGTCCTGCAGTATAAAAGGCCATCGTTGGTGAAGACATCTCAAACCAACGACATATTTCACAATACAGCCCACAAATCAGATTTTACAAGATGTATTTCTGGTATATTTCCATAGAGACTGTCCACAGCAATACATCAACGTGGCCAAAGTCTGCGATGCCTTTAACGTTATGACATATGTTACCAAACAGAAAATGAACCAGATGAAATACATGTAGAGGTTGAAATAAGCTATTCTGTTAAATATATCTCTATTGTTGGATATTTACAGAGGTTCTGCGATACACAAATCTTCTGATTAATGTTGCTGGCACACACCCGTTTTCCCAGAAAACTGAGATGATCTGAATTACCTGCAGTCAAAAAAAATGAGAGTAGCCTCTTTGTTTTGTACAAGGCTGTTTATACTTGTTAGATCCTTGTACCTGATAAAGGCTGGAGCTTGCAAACATTTTTGCATGCTGCATGAGATAAAATCTCCATGGCTTTGTCTTTGTGATGGTAAAATGGTGTGCGTATGTGTGTGTCTGTATGAGGATGGGGGGTGGTCTGGGTGGTTGCTGCAATGTCTTGTAGTTCATTTAAGCTGTGTATATTTCCATCTGTTTTGAAGTGTAAAGCTTGGCAACTTTTCAACAACAAACATATAGCAATGCTGTATTTACCCAGGCAATTAGACAACTACCAACAAAGTGTGAGTCAAATGTCACCAACAAAAGCCTGGTTCATTTGCCAGAAGGTCATACTGTGTCTCATCAGCGTCACATTAAGGTTGGTTGGACACCATCCTTATTAGTAGCTACTGCACCATCCTGAGAGACGTTACTTGATTATTTCATAAATAATTAATGTATTGTGATTGCTGTCAAAATACCTGCCCCTTCACATACCTCAGTGGCAGGTAAATGTACCTGCGGGGTTAACTGTTAATTTAAAGTTCAGGTGACAGACACGTTGTTAAAAAAATGATTCACGCAGGTTTGAAAAAGCAAGAGGGAATCCTGCAGGTGAATAGTCATATCCATCTGGCGCGCAATCCGCTTACAGTCATAACCTAAATAACAAAAAAGCATGACCATGCATGTAAATAGAGAACATGTACTGGTCAATTCAAGACTATGTTAGAATGAAATAATTAGTTTGGAAGTAGAAATTCCCCTTGTGCGCGCAGAAATGGCTGTGCGTAAAAAATGTGGCAAATTCGCGTAAATCTATTTAAAAAAGGTTCAGAATTAGAATTTCAGAGAGCGATAAATATTTGCATTGTATTAAGTGTGTTAGAAAATAGCGTGTTCTCTAAAGCAATTATGATATTATGAAGTGTTTTTGTAAAACTGAAACTCACGCTGCTGTTGTGTCCGGACCAGTGCATCATCGCCTGGTTGTGCGCCGAGTCTCCCGATAGAGCAAAAGTAGAAGTGTCCAGGTGCGGCTCACTTTGCCTCGGGTTAGAGCCTCTAGCTTCCTCCCCTGTGTGCCGGTACTCGGGTCTGGAGTTGGAAACACCTTGGACAGTCTCCACAAACCTCTCTCTTGACTGAGCTTGTCCACTTGTACTCCTATCCACATTGTCGGTGTATGTTGTACGCACACTCCTTTTTGCCCTCTTTTTTATCTCAGAAAATGTGTTTTCTAACATTATATTCGCTGCAGGTCGCCCATGGTTGTCCTCGGATATGTTATCACACTTTTTACCTGGTATTCTGAGACGGTTGTGATAGTTTGGTGCAATTGTGTTGCCGATCAGCGACTCGTGTCCAAGTCCACTCTGTGTTTCATTCCCTACTTGCTTTCCATTGTTCGGTTTCAAAGCAACGGCTGCTTCCGATTCAGAAGCGATGAAAACTTTTGCGCTATTGTCGACTTTAACCTCCGTTGATTTTCGGGTTGTACGTGCCTCCAGCGGTGTTACATCCAGGCGATACAATCTGTCATTGGCTCTTCGAGAACTTACTTCCGCTTGAGCCACAAACTTGGGGTGAAAGGAGTACAGCAACACGAAAGCCAAGAGGGAAAAACTCAAAAATGACCACAGTCCCATTGTGTTTTTCCAAAGTGATAGTCTACCAGCGGGGATACAATAGGTAAGGCAACTTCTAAAACATTCAGGGTATCATCTTTACGAGCAAGAAGCCATTCAGCAGTCCCGCTCACGTCCAGGAATTTGTCAAAGTGAGGGACCAGTTGGGGAGGTGCTGCGCATCAGGCAAACGCGCCGACAGAGAGTGACTGCAGAAACGATTTGAGCTCATTGTTCATGGGGATATTTAGGGAGAAAAGGCTTTAAAATGATGGCATTTTTAAATTATTCCACTATTTTATTTTTCGTCTGGGACGGCAGAGTTTTTATTCTGCAACGTTTTAGAGGCTATTTATGTAAACCTATAAAAGTTATCCGAAACAGCACGTTATTGACTCGGAGCGGTTGACAGGAAAAGTAATTTGTGCCTTGCAGAGCAGTTGTGTGTCCCCGTTGTGGCAATTTTTGCAACTGAAAAGACAGAAAAACACAATTTACTTGCATCAATCACCTCCGGATTCACCTGTCAACTATGTGCAAGCGCGCTCACGCGGGGAGTACATTTGGGGCAAATTCAGTTGGACTTCCTGACAAAGAACCAGACGTGATCTGATGTCATTTTATGTGCATAACTGCAGCGGTGCAGGGGTTTTCTACTGTGCCTGTATTTCTGGTGACACACTAAGCTTTTTCTAATTAGGCCACTAATACAATGCACCTCAGGCCTTCTACTGCACAACAGCCCAGGAAACACGAAGACCTTTGAAGTCATACTGTGATATGTTGGCTGTGATCTTCATGACTTTTGCTGCCACACAGGCAACAGCAAGCCTTCAACAACTGTTTTAATCTTGGCACCTTCACATTTTGCATTATTCATTCATTTTTTTTACTGTGCAGATCTGAGAAAAATAGCTTTCTCTAAATCAATATGCAATTTGAAATGTATTGGTTTCAATTAGTGGAGCCAAATGAATTGTGAAAGGCAAGTTCAATTTCCTGCTGATAGGGCTCTCGGTCAGTTGTTACAGAAATTGTACGTTAGTCGTTTTATTTTGTGTTATTTAAAAGATTTTTTTCCCCTCATAAATGTATTAAGATGCCTGGTGATAAAGAGTTGAAACACACCTTAGATTTGCTTGCTTCAGTGGACAGCTGCCCGAGGAAGAACCTTCAAGAGAAGGCTTTCCATCTTTTTCAAAGACAACAAACTGGATTGGATTACAATAACAGGAGGTAGAATGTAACCAGATATGTCGCTGTAATGCAGGGGCAGATGTTGAATATAATATCGAGCAATTACTCCTTTCTGTCAAGGCTAAACCAATCCAGGACCTGCACATATTCAGCGCGATTTTCCACACTTGTCATGAGAGAAACTTGAAAAGTGAAGAGGGGACTAGTACTGGGCTTCCAACTGTCCTGTCCTATACTCTTCATTTGATAGTGAACAATGAATGTCTGAAAACCGGTAAAACCGTAAGACATATTTTCAGAATTCATGTTTAGGACTGCAGCTTGTTACTGTACTGTGGATGAACTCTTGGCTGCAAAATCATGCTGAGCATCTACTGAGCTGTACAACATGTTGTAGTATGGGGGATAAGAAAATTCGCCGTCCTTGAATGTTGCACAGTCAGAAATAAGCACAAAACAACTCGGTGGAAGGAATGACATTGACATGAGTTCATTGCTGAGAACAGCACCTTCTGATCTTGCACATGTCCTCAGACAGTGCAGTGAAAACAGCAATCAGAAGGCTAGCCAGTAGTGCCATCCTCCTCAGAGGGATCACTTCTTGGTCACTGTTTTTTTTGGCACGGCTGTACAAACAAATTGAGATTCATACAAGTGAGGGCTCTGGGCAGCAGGTGCTACTGTTGCAACTCCGCTGCACGCCAGACAGCTCCCTCTCTCTACAGGCCATTCCCGCCAGAACGCCTCTGCAATGAGGGGGTAATTGGACTGATCACACTCTGTTTACCCATTATGCTGCTAAAATGAAGTGGGTTGTTCCCAAACACACTGTGACAGGCCGGGGAGGGAGGAGGAGCCTCTTCCATCAATGACACGTCTTTTAATCTGTACTAACCTTGGGCCGGGAGAGCATTGTGCGGATTTCGGCATGTTTGTGTCTTTGTGCGTGCGTGTATGTGTGTGTGAGAGAGAGAGACAAAGAAAGAGGCCTGTGTTAATATGTGAAGAAATATCTGGGGGGAGAAGAGTTTTAATGTGTCCTAGTGTGCGCGTCTATATGCCCCACATCCTGCGTGTGCTTAAACTATGACAAGGAATATTGCATATTCCTGGGTGGAGAATATCTCAGATTCTGCATAAATCTGAACCACAGTGAAAGGGAATAAAAGAAAAAGAGAGATGAGAGGGTGAGACTGAAAACTGTGTACATCGGTGTAGCTCATTCATTTTTATGTGCTCTCTTCCCCAGTGTAGATCATTAGCAAGATTATCAGATGTAATCATCTCATTCTGGTGGCGCATAACTTAGACAGTCCCTGCAAACAGCATCATCCTCTCTCCTGTTTCTACTGAAGACAGGGAGCAAACTCTAAAGCTTTCAGGACAAAATCCCATTTGTGCATCCGCTGTCTGCATCCCAAGCTTGTTAGTTCCAACACTTCAGTGATCCCGGCGGAGCAGACGCATAGGCAGTAGCAGCAACCATAATGGCCATCACCCAGACAGCTCACACTCGCATGGAGGAGATGAACAGCAAGGTGCACACTCCACTCGGCTATACCCACGCCATTAAAAGGAGAAACTCTCTTTTATTGCAGATGGCAACACTTATTTTGTACCTCCTTCATCGTCTCGATGAAAGAAAGGCATTTTAAAATCACAGTGGGAGTAGTTTAGGACAGTTTGCCACTATAATAAACTGGCCCTGTCACTGAAAATACAACGCTGCTCATTGGTGAATCACTGGATTACTATTATCTCTTTGATGTCTTTGTTCTTGAGCCTTTTCCCTGTACATGAACACAGGGACGAGCCTGTCGAGATATCAATACAATTTGCTTGATCTCCCACAGCTGCAGCTCATCTTTAGTAATAGTTTGCAGGATTTTCTCAGATGTTCTGGGTCAGTTATAGTTTTTGTTCCTTCAGCCATATTCTTTAACTTGATTCATATTATTTAAAGGATATTTTCAATTTATTACAACTTGGATTGTCATAATTGACTATTGTATCTGTCAGTTATGATAACATTGTACACATCAAAGTAACTGTGGTTTCTGGGAACAGGGAGACATTTGTACAAGATGGGAAGGAAAACACGAGCAGTTAGATGATCAGGTTGTAAGCCAACAGTTCAGGTACATTGTACACGATTCTTTGGAGATAAAATACTAAGTGAGCACTCCCAGAATGTTCCTCTTTGCAATCCTGTCTCGTTGAATTTACATTTATATACGCCTATTAAAGCAACAGCAAAAAGGTAAGAAACGTGATATTACCCAAAATATTTTTTCTATCATTATAATGAGGAAATTATGTTAATGGTAGTATCTGCAAAGTCTCAAAATGGTGAAACAGAGCATATCAGTAAAATGTTCACTGACAATGTATGTCGTTAGTTTTCCCTACAGGGCAATCTGCGCTCTTGCAATACAAAATCCACTATTAACAATTGAGCATGATAAACGTTATATATGGTCATGTTTAGGCACTCCCAAGGCTTCCCTGAGGGTAGGGAAGAACGATAGACGAGAGTTACACGTATAACCATAGTGACAGTACAACACAACAAAGATGGCGAGAGGTGGAGCCTCAAAATGCTTAGAAGACATAAATTAAAAATCCATGGCAAAGAGGGCGACAACATTTCCCTGAGCAAAGTTATACATATTTTCAGTTTTTGTTGACTAAAATGAATATACATTTTTACATTTTTGTGAAAAGAAAGACAATATCAAAATCAGGTGCCAGAATGAACATGACAGGGGGCAAAATCCAGGCAGCTGTTACATTTCTTCTCAAAACGTATAATAATTTGTGTACACACATCATTTCTAAAAGACAGGGTTGCGGATTGCACACAAAAACTGTGGTCTCAGGTCTTACAGCGAACACTTTTGGTGCTAATTGTTGCAGTTCCCTTTCAATTTCTATTCCAAACTAATTTGCTCAAAGTTTGTTTAAAACCAGATCATCTGACGGCTTTTTCTTCTGTTATGTCACCGTGTTTGATTGATCTCAGCAAAATAGGATTCACATTGTAAAAAAACAAAATGATTCCTTAACAACGGGTGCCTGAGTGATTACCTCATTTCTCCTCTACAATTGGAAGTTTGTTTCTCTACAGTAGTGAGTTTGCATGTTCTCTCCTCCAACATGCAAGCTGGGTGAAATCCATACCTAAAATGGACACACCTAAGCAGGAATGTGTGTATGACTGTCTGTCTCTGTCAACCATGAGATGGACTGACAGCCTTTGCAGGCTGGTTTCCTGTCATGTGCCAAATGTATGCTGGAAAAGGCAAGTAAACCCTAAGTGGTTATTATGTAAGGCACAATTAACTAATTAATTAAAGAATGAATTCTTCTATTAAACCACTTCTGTGAATGTACAGTATGTGTGTGTGTGTGTGTGTGTGTGTGTGTGTGTGTGTGTGTGTGTGCCCATATGTGGCTCCAAAATAATGTTTCTGAATCTATTTAGCTCAAATATGTCACCACAATATGACCAACAGATATACACAATTATGAAGCTGCTCTGTTCATTTCTAATTAACTTGTTTGTTTATTGATACTGGAGAGCAGACACCATCTGTTATCAAGCAGAAATTCTTTGACCCACTTTGAAAATACCAGATCTGTCTCTAAAAGGGAAATACCAGCAATGTTAGGCAGAAGGGCAGTTTGACTTGCATAGATGAACATTTCAACTCGTTTGAACCTTTGCCAGTTGTTAGGATATGCCACTAACTGCTGTGTCTTCAGCATGGATGTCTCCCAGGGGGGTGTTTTCCCCCCTGGGAGACATCCACGAAGACAGTCATACATTTCATCTTCCCAATGGAGCCCATTTCTAATGCCATACAGACAAACGGAGAGAGGAATCTTAAAAGCCATACTTGTGTATAATGAGACCGGCCAGAGAAAGTGAAGCTTTGCATAATTGCATTACAGTATATTGAAGAGTGAAATTAAGAAGGGA